GAAAGAAAGAAAGAAAGAAAGAAAGAAAGAAAGAAAGAAAGAAAGAGGGAGGGAAAGAAAGAGAAAGAAGAGGAAAAAAAGAGAGAAAGAAAGGAGAGAGAAAAAGAGGAGAAAGAAGGAAGAGAGAGAAAGAAAGGGAAAGAAAGAAGAGAGAAAGAAGAGAAAGAAAAAGAGAAAAAGAAAAGAGAGAGAAAGAAAGAGGGAGGGAGGGAAAGAGAGAGAAAGAAAGGAGAGAGAGAGAGAGAGTCAGAAATTTTGAACCACATCCGTCCCCTTTTCAAAATAGGTATTTCAACAGATGCCCACCCACCAGCCAAATAACAGGGGGCAGTTTGGCATAGTGGTTAAACTCATTGTGGCTCTTTCCGAAGCCCCAGGCAAGGGAGCCAGGCTGGCAGAAACGCCCGTTCAGCTCCGTGTTTTCGTCGAAGAGCAACCACATCGTTGCCCTGGGGACGCCGACGGTGGGGAGAGCTTACCTTCTGCCTTCTTGGCGGGCTCGTAAGAGGCCGCCGAAGCAACCTGGCACTTGGCCACCAAGAACATGGCGGCTCCTTTGTCCAGCACAGCCCCATGGGCCAGGATGGGCTCTATGGCCATGTGCAGGATGCTGAGGGCTTGCTCGGGAATCCCCAGGATGAGCTAGGAAAGAAGCAAACGCAACGACGGCAACGGCTAAGGATTTGACGATGCCAGCCGGTTGTAGTTTCTTCAATCCACAACCAGCTTAACCCTATACTTAGGGGAGGGGGTGTGTGTGTAGATAATCTGGGGGCTTGTAGGCTTGGCAGCAAGGGTCCGGGTCCCCTTCCAAGCAGCCAAGAGAGAAAACGCAAGGAGGAGCAGAGCTGATACCTGGGCAAAAGCCAAATTGAGGATGGTTTCCGAAGCCAGGTACTGCAGGCGGTACTCCCTCGCCAGCGCCAGGGCCTGCAGCAGGATGGGCAAAGCGATCGTGTGGCACAGAGACTGCCAATACAGCTCGGCCATGGAGAGCAGGACGCTGGACCCAAGGAAGAGAAGGAAGAGAAATGAGGAATTAGAAGCGTCATTTCCCAAGACGCTTTGAAGCACCGTCTCTGGGGGTTCCGATTAACCACTGGGCATTTCTGGAGTGTTTTCCTAGTTCAGGGGTCCCCAAACTTGGCAACTTTAAGACTCGTGGGCTTCAACTCCCAGAGTCCACAAGTCTTAAAGTTTTCCAAGTTTGGAGAACCTCTGTCCTATTTGCTTTGTGATTGGCCACTCACTGTTGTTTGCAGCCGGGCGGCCTTATGAATAGGAGCTATAAATAAAAGGAGTAAGCAAGCAAGCACATCCTTTTGTGTTTGGTCACACCTGGGACGCAACCCGAAGCAGTGAGGGAGGGCCCCCCAAAACATGAAAGGGTATCAAACTATTAAAGGGTATTGATTTCAAACCATTAAAGGGTATCGATTCTCCTGCTTTGGGCAAAGATTGAAGCAAAGCTTTTAAACATTATCATCCCTTGAGAATAAACAGCAAGCCTCCTGCAGATTTGGCTCTCTTCTTTACAGGTAGTCCTCGACTTACCACGGTTCATTGAGTGACCGACTGTCAGGATTCCAGCAGTTACCCCCATTTAAATCATGAGCCTCGAGCCAAACTTCCAAAAGATTTATTGGGAGTTAACATGCCGGCATTGCCTGGGTGTAGCCGATTCTGAGACACATCATTCATTGTCACCCTTGACCCTGGTTTTCCCTCCGTCCTCCTGGGTGTATCGTAATTCATATTCTCCAATGGGACACATCCATAGCCCAGAGTCATCAATCATGCTCTCCAGTTAGAATTTTGCACGGCAGAAACTTCGGTCACTTAGTTACTATCTTTGAAAACATTTATGGAATGCACTTTTGGTTTCCAAGCTGATGCACTGCTCTTTCAAACCCCTTCCCCCCCACTTTCTCTAAAAGGACCATAGAAATATTTTATGAGTTGACACCGACATTACAACGGCACTGAAAAAAGTGACTTATGATTGTTTTTCGCATGGCCATTACAGCATTCCCTGCAGTCACGTGATCCACATGCAGGCCCTTGGCAACTGGCTCCTATTTATGACCTCTTGGTGTGTCCTGGGGAGTCACATGATCCCATTTTCCAACCTCCTGACAAACAAAATCAAGAGGGAAGCCAGATTCATTTAACGACCGGATTACTAGCTTAATCATTCACTGTGGCCATTCAGGGGCTGAAGCGAAGCACAGGAAGAGGCCCAGGATAGGCCACCCAAAGCAAGTGCCTCCTTTGGCTAGAAATACTTGTCTCTTACCTGATGACCATCTCGATGTTTTTGATTTTATAGCAGTGGCTCAAGAGCTTCTCCAGGAGCTTGTGGGCCTTGGACACCTGATTCTGGGCCTTAAGCAAAGTCACTTTCCTGAAAGACAAAAATCCAAGGGCAGAAAGGCAAGAAAGTTATTAAGCCACCCAGCCGAGGTGCCTTTGTTTATTTGCATTCATTTATCCCTTGGTTATTGTTATGTTTACCTTTCGTCTCATCCACCCTCCAGTTTTATTGCTGCAAGCCGCCCAGGGTGGCACCACGGTGAAATAGTAGGCAAATAAATTTAAATTACAAAAATAAACAATCTTTTGTTCGCAGCAGGACCAAGCATAAAGGTGTCTTGTGAACCCCAGCCCGGCCCCCAGGAGAAAAATCGATGTATGGGCGAGCAAGAAACTGATACGGCTTTCCACAGTTGATTTATGGCTTGTTTAAGGACCAGAGTTACGGCAGCCTTGCAAAAGGTATTTTATGGTCTGTCAAGCACTTCCAGCCATCATCAAAAGCTGCCCCCGCTTCTCCGTGACTGCATTTCAGGTGCTTGGGAACCGGCTCACAGGTACGACTCAAAAGTAGATAACAGATAATCAGAGTTGGAAGGGACCTTGTAGGTCATCTAGTCCAACCCCCCCACCCCCTGACCAAGCAGGAGACTCTACACCAGTTCTGACAAATGGCAATCCAGTGTCTTCTTGAAAGCCTCCAGGGATGAAGCTCCCACAACTTCCAAAGGCAACTTCTGTCCCATGGGTTGACTGTTCTCACTGTCAGAAAATTCCTCCTTATTTCCAGGTTAAATCTCTCCTTGATCAGTTTCCATCCATTATTCCTTCTCTGGCCTTCGGGTGCCTTGGAGAATAGCTTGACCCCCTTCCTCCTCTCTGGGGCAGCCCCTCAAATACTGGAAGATGCTCTCCTGTCTCCCCTGGTCCTTCTGTTCCCTAGACTAGCCAGGCCCAGTTGCTGTAAGCAACACAGACAGGATTCACATTGATTTATTTTTGCCGCCTGCTGATCTCTCACCTGTAAACCCCCTCACAGCTGTTCAGCGCAGTGATCCCAGCCACCAGTGAGTCGGCAACGTGGTACCGGCCATCGTTCAGGGCTCGATCGAATTGGATTTTCTGATCGAACAGCATCCACAGCTGCGAAGGAGGATCGGAAAAGATTTAGAAAAAACTGGATTTTTCATGTCTTTTGTGACATTTGCACACCCCACATGTATTGTTGTCTGTCCAGTCTCCATTTATGTGACATCCCAGATATGTTGGGACTCCCATCCTCCTCAGTTTTGGCAATGGGCCATGTCGCCTCAGGATTATGGGGCTTGCAAGCCCAACCCACCCAGAAAGTAGCAGGTTACGTTAGCCTGGTTAATGCATTAATATAGTTTGGGTTTAGACTTAAAAAAAAAATTGTGATGCCTTTGTAGCTCAGTTGAGCATTATTTTTTGCCTGACAAAATCCAGATCTGGCATTATTGAGAAGTGCTTCTGGAAACAAACAACCAGCGCAACGTTAATAATTCAACTCGCAGGATTTTGTAAGCAAAACGCATAAATAAATCAAAGTCAGAAAGCATTCTTCTCTCAGGATTTACTACTGCTGGAGCTCACCTGGGCATGCTGACTGTTGGTGGGAAATCTCTCCTTAAGATGCTTCAGAACCTCGGAGGCCGCGGTGAAGTAACCCTGATGCATAGAAAAGTGAGATTGGAAAGAAGAGGAGAAATTCATGCCCAAGCTAAAACACTTCGATGCCTTAGTTCCAAAAAATAAAAATAAAAAATATACAGTGCCAAGAAGTGCTTTCATTTATTCATTCATTCCATTTACATGGCCACCCATCTCACTTTTATGTAGCTTACAATAAAATACTTCCTGGGGAAAAATATTTAATACATGGTCAGATACATTTAATAAAGCTGCGCCATTTCAAATTCTCTCAAAAGTCTTGTTCTTCGGTAAGATGTGGCTTTGTTTTAGGGCAACATGGATCACTTTGTCAAGATGCTGAAGCGTCATATAAACAGATTCTCCCAAGTAGAAGTTGTACGAACGCCTGCAGACAGGCTGCCTGGGGGAATTCTGGGAGTTGAAGTCTGTACATCTTAAAGTGGCCCACGTTGAAAAACGCTCCTCTACAGTGACTGAGTGGTGAGTAGAGCAAGGGAGCAGGGATCTACCCAGATGAGGCAGATGGGGTGTGCTGTGGTTCGCTGGTGCAGACAGTGGAATCGGACAGTGGGGAAGAACATGGGCCAATCCAGGAGTCTGGTGAGGACTCGGATGAGGGTCCTGTATCCGATGCAGAGATGGGGCCAGGACCATCTGGGAGTTGTGTGCTGACTCCGGAGCCTCCAGAGTCTGGCAGCAGTGAGGAAGAGGAAGAAGGGGAGCCTGTTCCCAGTGTGCGTGTGCACAGAGCTGCTGGAAGGTGAGAGCAGCTGAAACAAAAGGAGCGACTCCGGAGTAAGGCTTGGAGGTGATTGCCCCTCCCCTAAGGTTTAAAGGAAGTGCAAAGATAGATAAACCTTTGCAGGAAGCAAAGTCGTTCGCTCTGCTCGAATTAAATCTTGAAGCTCTGTCCGGACTTTGTACTTCGGTTGGGTTTTTTATAATTCATTTGGCACTTTAGTTGTTTAGTTGTTCAAAGGAGAGAAAGGTGGATGCTTATCTCAAGGGACTGTTTGGGACTCCTTACTGGCTGGGAATGCACATAATTCCCAGCACTGAAATACAAAGAGAGTTGTTTGGACTAAGCGTGTGCTTAATTACGGTCTCAGAAGCCTTGGTCAGAATAGGGTTTGGGAACTCAGGCCGATTCCCCAAAAACCCGACTCTCTTCTTCAGCCTTAAGTAGGGCACATGCCAGAACTATCGGAAGGGTCATACGAAACGATGGCAGGGAATCTTGGGCACACAGCAACACGCCACCCACCTGCTCCGCGTGCAGCTCTGCCAAGTGACACAGCACCACGGCAAAGGACTCGGTGTTGTTTTGCTGAACGCCCACGTTCACGGCCTCCAGGCTGTTCATGCTCAAGAGCATCTGGGCCTGCTGGAGCGCCATTGTGCTAGGGCGAGAGAGAGAGAGAGAAAGGTAGATGGGCAGAGAATAACAGCCTTGGCACTAGGCCCGTTCCTTTTATTCCGTTCGGAACAGAGGCTCTCAGTACCTTTAAAAGAAAAAAAATAAACTCCATTCAAGAGCTTAATTCCACGGTGGCCATTATGGAAATCAGTACAATGTATTGTGTACTTCCCACCCACCCCCCCTTGTTTGCAGGTGCACCAGGTGTGCTAGACATCGTATTCAGTTCCTGGGATTTGCTAAGCTAAATGTTGTGGCCTGTCAGCCGCCGGCCCCTCCAGCAGCTGAATCAGATCAGGGGGCGGTGTGGGAGTCAGGGCCACCATCGAGGCTAGAGCTCCGAGGGGGAAGAGGAAATGGAGGGGAGAGAGAGAGGGAGGGAGAGAGGGAGGGAGTGGGGGGGAGAGGTAGAGCCTAGGCCGTCCATCAGCCCTCAGATGGAGAGTCAACAGCCCCCAGGTGTGGAGGTGGCTGATGAGGAAGAGGAGGAACAGCTGGGTCCAGTGCCTGATGTGCGGACACACAGAAGGCAGAGGAGAGGAGAGCAGTGGAAATCTATGGGCTGGTCCTTGGGACAGAAGAGCCACCGCTACTAGCGAAGCCCCACCCTAGCTCTGGGGGAATAAAAAGCAGGGAGGAGACGAATAGGTGTGGCAGACAACTATTCATCTTCTGGACAGACGGACTTGTCAGCCTGCATCGAGAGAGAGACTTTTTGCCGGGGTTACTGGCGCTCCTAATAAAGGAATCATTGATTTAACTAAGTTTGTTGTGTTTGGGAGCTGGGTCAGAACACTAAAGATATACTTTTGCGCTCTTAATTTTAATTCAGAGGAACCTAATGAATAATCCTGAACGCGGCTTCCTGACGGTTTCAGACGGGAAGGTTTTCTGAGCTTCCCCAAAATCCCTAATGCCATCTCACACCTTCCGCCCTGCCCGATGCCGGACGTACCTGCGTCCATACAGCCTCCAAATGGCCGTCTTCTGGGCGATGCTAATATCAATCAGTTCAGACAAGCTGTGTTTCCAGTGTAAGAGGTCGGAGTCTTTCAGAGCATCCATTAGTTTGTTGGCCGTCTTTCCTGCCAAAGCTCTTTGCTGGACCAAAGACTGGATCCCCAGAGAGGCTAAATACTAGGAAAGGAGGAGAGAAGGGGTTTTAAAAGAGGAAGCTGTTAGTCTCCCAGATGAAAGACAGAAGGGCCAAGTAGGGAAAAGTGACTTAAAAAAAGAAAGGAAAGGAAATTGACCAAGGGATTGACACATACTGGTAATCCAAAATATACAGCTTTCTTCACAGAGTGCTCTAGAAGTATGCAGCTATCCGATCTTTTCTGTTCCAAGATGTGCAGCCAGCTCTGGTCAAAGAAGATAGGAGACAAACAGGATGGTTACTGAGAAGTCCCTTCACTCAAAAGTCTGGTCTCCATGGACACCTCAGGATTAGGAATTTCAGGGTCAATAGAAGCATCCCTGCATGCCGCCCAACTTGCTATCGCTAAAAAAGGAAATGATTCCGTGAAAGGAAACTCAGGCAGCCTGTTCTGACCCAGGCTTTGCCAAAGGTAAACACAAACTTGTTTTAAAAGCAAAACCTATTTTATTGCAATGCTGGGAATTACTTTCATTCACAGCCAGGACTAATTATAAACAGTTCCCTAAGATAAGCACACACCTTTCAATGCTGTGGAATGCTGCCAAAAACAGAAGTGTCCAATTATACAGAAAACAACCGAAGTACCAGAAAAAAACCACCAGAGCTTCAAAGAGAACTTGGAATCTATCAAACTACTTTGCTTCCTGCAAAGCTTTCGTCATTGAGGTCTGACTTTTATCCCTTATGGGAGGGGCAATCACCTCCCAGCCTTACTCCCGAGTCGCCCCTTTTGTCTCCGCTGCTCTCGCCTTTTAGCAGCTCTGCACATACACGCACTGGGAACAGGCTCCCCTGGGTCCTCTGCCTCACTGCTGCCAGACTCCGGAGGCTCCAGAGTCAGCACCCCACTCCCAGATGGTCCTGGCCCCATCTCTGCATCACATGCAGGACCCTCGTCCGAGTCCTCCCCAGATTCCCTGACTGGTCCCCTTTCTTTCTCACTGTCTGACTCTGCTGCTGTCTGCAGGCGAACCACAACACTGCCAATTATTATTTTTCTTTTCAAAACTAAATCAAAACTGGCCAGACTTGCACGTTTGGCCTCGGTGATCCTCAGATTCATGGCACAGGCAGCTGCCATCTCAACTCAAAGCATTGGAACAGAACGGGGGTAAGGAGGATCTCAGATCTTCTGCTAGGAAGCCTTACCAAGCAATGCTGCAGGCAGACGTGATCGTTAGACTCCTGGGCAATCCGGATGGCTTCCTGCAGGGCCAGCTCAGCCTGGTGGCTGCAGTCAGAGAGGAAAGACAGCCGCTGTTAAGGCTCTAATAATATGTAGACCCTTAAGAATATACAGGTTGACTTACAATGGTTTGTTTAGGGACTGTTCGAAGTTACAACATGACTGAAACAAGGGATTTATGGGTGTTTTTCACACTTACAACCCTTATAGCATCCCTGTGATTAAGATGATCAAAACTGAGTTGCTTGGTAACCGAGTCAAATTTATGATGGTTGCAGTATCCGCTTTTGCAATGAGCAATGGGAAAGCCAGATTCATTTAACAACTGTATTACTAATTTTACAAGTGCAGTGACTCACTTAACAACTGTGGCAAAATGGGGCAAAGCTCACTCAACAAACATCTCACTTTGCCACAAAAATGTGGGGCTCCATTGTGTTCGTAATATATATATGTTATTATAAATATAATATAGAACCAGCCACTAAGGAAACAAGACAACTCAACCTCGTTTTCTTAGGGGAAGACATAGAAATTCAATTTTCTTTGGGGGACAAAAGGAAGAACATTTTACCATTTATATTGGGGTGTTTGTTTTTTGGATTAGGAGTTATTAGATATATTCCGCCTGAATCCCAACCCACGGCTGAGAAGATGGGAGAACCAAGGAGTCAGGAAAGGTTACACTTCCCTGCTGGCTTCTGAAAGTAGATTCAAAACAACTCACTAGTGACCAAAGCGGCAGTGCAGCGCAGCCAAATTAAGAGCAGCGTATCGGAGGCTTCGCCCATAGCCTTCGTCTCCGTTACTTTTGCTTTCTGCCCCGGTAAGAATCAAGCGGTCAAAGTAGTGAAGGAGGCTATGCGTTGAGCTGAAGACGTCTTGGACTCGAAGGCTGTTTAAGTAGCTCAAGTAATGCTAGATAGAAACAAACCAAGTTTGTATAAACTACCAGGGACATATATGAGCTTTGCATTAAATAAGTGTGTCCTTAATCACAAGTGGACTGGATGATAGGGTGCGTTTCCGTATGACATTCAGTCACAGACTATGGTTTACAAACCATGGCTGGATTGATGTAAAAAACAGCAAAAAAATGGCCGTAAATTTTGACATGACTCACTTAATGACCACATCACTTAACAACAGATGTTCTGGGCCCAATTGTAGTTCTAAATCAAGGATTACATGGATCAGAACACCAAATCAATCAATTGGCACCTCTTGAGTCTGCCTTGCCTCCCTGACATTCACGCAGCTTGATACACCCGGTAAGGAAGGATACACCCAATAAGGCGGGACCTAAGAAAACAAATTAATCTAACTTACCGCTTCCGCAAAATCCGGGTTAAATTTTAACAAGTTGTTCAGCTCCTTTTGTAAAGATGCCGGAGAAAGTGCTTTAGTCTCATCGTTTTTCAACAAAGATGCCTAGAATTAAAATTCCAAAAATAAAACTTGTTTCTGTTAAGAGATAGATGTAAATTCACCGGAACGCTATAAATTGAACCTTTCCATAATCAACACTGCTAAAGAACTTTTCACAGCATTCTACAACTTTAGCAACTTGAAGGTGTGTGGATGTTGGGGGTGGGGGATTCTGGGAGTTGAAGTTCACCCTTCTTCAAGCTGCCAAAGTTGAGAAGCCCTCCTTATACTGCATGTGCTTCTTACGCAATCAACTGCAGATAATTCATTTAGGGAGATCATAGGAAATTTGTTAAATAAAACACTTTGCTTTTTGGAATTGCAGATATATCCACACTCTAGTCCTCAAGCTGCAGAATCTCTTTCACACTCACTGCTCATCTTCCCATATATTAAGGGATGGGAAGTAGAATACACCACAAATATTCAGTCTGTCTTGAGCTTATCAGTTAGCATACCTGTTGGGAGAGGAAGTATTCCGCTTGCTTCTGTGAAAGTGGGCCATTGCAGGATATCTCTTCCTCCCTTCAAAGAGAAAAGCCATCATGACATTTCTCCAGAAAATTAAAGACCCAGAAGTAGCAAAGAAAGCAGTTCATTTCAAAAAGGGCCAAAACCCCCCCAGAGCAAAAGCCCTCAGGTGTCACCCTAGAGGGTGAAAGTTTTCACATTCATTGTTAGCTAAGGTGCTCTGAGAACTTGCAAGCTATTTTGGTAGGTATGGATAAAGCTACAGCTACTGTACATATTACATGAGCCCCCTCCTGCTGAAATGTAGACAATAGAACCATTTCAGAACTTTTGGTCAAATTTATCCAAGAGCTTGAATTGGCCACATACAAACCAGGGAATCTTGGGATCACTCCTAGCTTTTATTCAGTAACCAAAACCAAGATATACTTAATTATAACAGTGTGCAGAATTTCCACCCCTCCCTTATTTAAAAACTGGCTGTTCCCCCAGTTTTGGATTCGAGGGAATGACACTCCTGGTATGTTTTCGCTTATTCGATGGTTGTTGGTTTTCTTTGCTTTTTCAACGTTATGTACAATATCATCTTGTTGTTTTAATAAGCTGTTCAGAGTCCTCACAGATTGAGGCTGAATATGGATTTCCTACAAATGAATAAATAATAACCTGAGCGGTCCATCAAGTTCTTCTTTCTCCATTTCCTCATCCGGTTCTCCACAACGGGTCAGCTCCATTTCACTCTCATCACCTCTGCCTTTCTTCTCTTCATTTTGGAAGAACTGCTGGAGAGCCGTGTAAAGCTTGTAGACTTGGCTGAATGAGAGTTTATTATAAGCCAGGATCATGTGGCGCAGGAACAAGCCTGCAGAGGTAACGAGGAGGCTATTATTGTGGACTTGGCCCTTCTCCTGCCTTATCAGCTCGACAATGCGATACAATCAAACCTCCTATCTTCCTCAGGTTTTGTAATACCCATTTCTACCACAACAGGGAGCATTTCTCCAAACGGAACAAGTGGCAAAAAAAATAAAAATGATTTGCATCAAAAAGATTGTGCAAATCCATAAAAATTAAGTTTGACAAACTAAGTTGGGTTTGTTTTATTGAAGCAAACCAGCTTAGGCAGTTAGATTTTAACTAAGGAATGAAGATCCAAGATGTAAAGTAACTAAGATTTTTTTTTTTACCTACAACACTTGTTTTGTGAACTTCTGGTTCGGTTCCACTGAATGAGTCTGAAAGATCGTCAAAGAATTGTTCCATATCTTTCAATTCACCTTCCGCCATCAGCTTGATCCTGTAAGTGAGGCCAACAGATGATGCTGCAATGTTCTATATACAAAGCACACAAACTATATATAGATCCTCCAAAAGATGAATATTAATAAATAAGTATTTTGAAATCAGAATTGAAATTGTAGCACCAACCCTCCCCACCAAAAAGGATTAACAAGTTTCTTCATCCAAAGAAATATTTTCAAACTTGTAAAACAAACTTCCTATTCAGAGAAAGACCCTAAAACCTGGAGAAATTTATTAAAGTTACATCCTTCAAAGCACATTTAACCCCACTAACAAGTCTTTTTAAGCAAACAAGAATGGACACCATTGAAACAAACTGGAATATGCAAAAAGGAAAAAAAAATCACACTTACCTTGTTTGAACAGAATTTGCTATTTCACGGCAGCATTCATCAATAGCTTGAATCAAACGAGACAATGTCATATCAGGACCCTAAATAAAGAAGTAACACTAACTGTTAGAACATAATCTATTAACTCACAGTTCACGAAATATGATTTCCTGAATTAATCCCATTGATGGATACATACAGCATATGCAACCATAAAATCAACTTTGGATGAATGTGCCCAATTCACAGGGACAAGCTACACCATTCTGACTATTTGTCATAACCAGAAAGACTACATTCATTTTGGCCCTGTCACCATTTTATATTTTGTATTTATATACAATATAAACATATAATGTACTTATATACTGTTAGCTTGTTAGTTTCCTTTTCTTCTTCTTTTGGATTGTGTGTTTTTCTCATCAGCTGCCCAGAGTACACTATCTTTTAAATTACAAATTCATAATTAAATGTACATCTTATTTATTGAAGTAAATAGAAATAAATGAAACCTTACCTGACCTCAAAACCTCCCCTCCCCTTGAAAGCCCCAAATGACATAGGAAAAGCCGTTAAAGCCATATTTTTATTGTGGTCTTTTTCACCCTTTATTTTATTGTTCTGTTATTTTACTTCTGTTTTTATTAAAGTTTTTGACCTTTTAAAATTTAAATTAATAATTTTGCCATTCCTAGTTCCTGCATTTCTGACAGGAGATGACACTTCTGTGCATTCTTTTCATTTCTTCCTTCTTATTGTTGTAAGCCACCTAGAGTACACACAAGGCAATATAGACGGCAAATAAAAGTCTGTATAGATTCTCAGTCATCCAGGTCATGGTTGTCCCAAAAGTGCTTTTTCAGGAGGAAACTGGACTTTCATGGTTTTTACTTTTGAAGGCATTTCAATTCTCATTCAAGAAGCTTCTTTAAGAAGCCTCAAGTGACCCCGAAGACACAGATAAACCTCCAAGCGGCCTCAATGACCCTCTCAAAGGATGCAAATGACCAGCTGTCTGCAAAGAGTATAAATCCTTCCATTCTCCATCAATCCAGTCAGAGCTGAAGCAGTTTCTTTGGACATTTTCCAAAGTTGCCTCTTGCAAAAAAGCACCTTTGGGACAGGAGGCAAATAAATTTAACAAATAATGTCCCCCCCTTCTCCACAAAAAAACGCCCCAAAGGGATGCAGGTTTCCTCTTTCTCCCCTCCACCCCCCTCCACCCCCCACAACCTGCAAGAGGGGCAGTAGCAGCCGGTTGAGACGCCGTCTTTCCAGCAGGCTGAGTTGCGGCCCGGTCCGGCCCAGCTCCCGGATCAGCACCAGCAGGGCCATCTTGTAGGGGGTGACCCAGTCCTTGATGCCGAAGACATTGGCATGAACCACGCCGTTGGTCATCATGGGGTTGAAGTAGAGGCTCTCGTGGACGCTGGCCATAGCGCCTTCCGCGACGCCACGATGGGGGACCGCATACGGAGGCGCACCCGCAGCATCACCCGGGCAACCGCCGCTGAGTCCCCGAGCAGCCAATCGCCGAGGCCGGAGGAAGTGCGCGGGGGCCGGGCCTGAGCCAATGAGAGCGAAGCTTGAGGGGTGTCACGGTCAAGGGTAGGAGCGGGAACGAAAGGCGCGGTGCCAAGAGTTCCGCTGGGCTTAAAAGAAATAAGGGAAAATGGCAGAATAATTAGAATTGGAGAGTAATAAGAATAAAAATCTCGGAGGTCTTCTAGTCCAGCCCCCTGCACAAGCAGGAGACCCTATTCCATTCCAGACAAATGGATTTCAGAGGAATCACTTCAGTGTTCTAGATTACAAATATCTAGGGTTTTTTTTAAACTTCTATACTCTCTCTTTTTTGTAGGTCTCCCTAGAGAAGGAGTTCTGTGTATGAAATATCGGATGATGATTGATAACTCAACACTGATGGGGCTACCTAATATTATAATGAAATGTTTGCAAGCAAATTACCAAGCTCAAGAGACAGCAGGAATCCCACAGTTCTACTTTAAACCACAAATATTCTTTTCTCCTGGAGAACATGAAAGCTTGCGTCCTTTTCCAATATGTTCATACAAGACTATTCACTTTTTAATCATTCTCACGTCATACCCCACTTGCTTAGGGTAAGCTTGGATTGGTTTAATGGCTGTGTGGTGTGAATCCTGCCCATTAGTTTCTAATTCATTTATCGTGCAAAGTCAGAATACGATTTAGTTCAGCAACCAGGTTAGGTTGTGTAGACTCGGCTTCTGAGGAAAAGAAAGAATCTTTGGGCCTATTTTGGAACTGGGAACCTAAGCAAATTCATAACTAAAGGGATACTCTTCATTCGTATTGCTCGTCTTTTGCTTTAGGTTTACAAAACAGGGACATACATGTATATATAATGCTATCATCCTGCACATTCAGCATGTCAATAAATGTTACATTTCAATACTAAAAGTTGGTTTTATTAACATTTATTTCACAATTAAGCAAAGGTCATATTACCAATTGCTATGCTAATGACCTTGGCGTAAATTTAAGAAGACTTTAGAATAGCAGATAAGAATGGCTTACTTCTCCAGCATAATCTCCTGACCAGAAAAGCTTCCTGCTCATTTCTCTCCATATGACGTGATTCTAAAAACTGCTTTTCTGAGCGATCATGCACAAACTTTTGCTGACATAAGACAGTTTCTGTTTTCCAAACAACAGCTGTGTTTCTAAACTATTTTTGCAGAGCTGGAACTTTAAGGACTAGTTTATATTATTGAGTTCATAATTTATAATTTGGGAGCAGATGAAAAAAAGTAGAACCGAGGGGGGAAAACTCAATAAATGAATACAAGTTAGAATACAACTTTTTTAAAATTATTGCTACTAGTACAGATTATTCCAAAATATTTCCAAAAGGCATATTTATTTAGAAGTATTTATAAAATCATCCCAATCAAATAAATGCTAATAGTTTTCATTATAATAATCATGAATCCCCAGAGAATGAATGCAATGACGGATATATGACGTAAGAGCCCCAAATCTTTTCTTAAAATACTGTGACGTCACACTCTCACCCCCCCCTTTCTCAAGAACGTCCTGATAAACCCACCCCATCTGCAATTCACACCAAATTTCCCCCCCTCTCCATTTCCCACAGAATGGAACCGCCCGATTGTGCCGCTGTCATTGGCCCTCGGGGACAGCCAATGGGAAGACAGAGAGGGGAGGATTGGGACGGCCATCGGCCTCTTTCCCGGTCCCCGCCCCCCCGGCTGGCCCCGCCTACCTGCTTTGGACACCGAAGGGAGGGAAAAAACGGCTGCGCGCATGCGCGGAATAGGGCGAGTGGCCGTGGCGCGAGAACGCGCGGGCCGGGGGCGCGAGCCGGAGACAGTTGAGCCGTTGGAGCCCCTTCCCCCCACTTCCGGTCCTATCCCGGTCCAGGCGAAGACAGGAGGCGGCTTCAGAGCGGCCATGAAGGTGAACCAGCGGGGAGGGGGGAAGGAGGAGGGGCTAAAATGGGGGGGGGGCTGCGGGGGTTCCCACGGGTGGGGGGAGAGGAATTG